AGATCTTTTCATTTCCTTTGGTTAGTAGCAATTCATAGACTTGAGCATGCTAAAATTTACAGTTAGCCTCTTGATGGAATATAAAATTGATAAGCGGTCTAGACAGCATTTGGAAAATATATGAACGAAATCTGTTTTGCATTTAATGAGTTTCACTGATAATCTTCATAAAAATCAAGAAAATGATTTCAAAGACTATTTTTCAAATCAAAGTATTTAAGAGCTAAGGATATCTGTTTTGTTTAGGTTTAGTGTTTTAACCATTGTTTAACTTCATTGTTTTATAAATTGAGTGAGCATAGTCTTTGGTAAAATCTCTCAGAATCTATATAATATATCTATCAATAAACACTATATGGAAACCAACAAATATATTTCTAAAATTCTTCTTTAGTTTTCACCATCAAGACATATTATCCATAACATCTAGTTCCAGAAATGTATCTTGACTTCATTTTATGTAGGAATTAGGAGAATAATACAATAGTGTGTGCTCAATTATGAGGAATGCCCAAGGTGCAGAAGTTACCATATTTTTTTATATCAAAGTTCACTATCTGATAAAAAAAAATTCTTCGGCCAGGTGCCTTTGACAAAGGCTTGTCATCCTAGCAACTTAGGAGGTTGAGTTTTGAGGAAAATAGCCAGAAGTCAATCTTTGGCTTACATGGTAGAATACTAGCCTTGAGAAAAACTGCTCAGAGACAGTGTCCAAGCTCTTAGTTCAAGCCCCAGGTTAGCACAAATGAAAATCTCAACTGATTCAAAATTGCTCTTAAAAGTTACCAGAAGATTTTAAGATTCATTCTTTCTGTTTACTTACTATTTATTTACTTACTATCTTTAAGGAGTTTCAATTCAACATGTCAATCAAGAGGACAACACGTCTCACTCAATGGATTCAGTTTGCATGTGTGTTTTTAATCCCTGTTCTATGTCAAGAACATTCCTGTATTATGTATACTATGATCAGTTTTGTCATTTACCTCTCTGGTCTAGTTGTATGTATACTTTTGCCATGCTCATATCATAGTTATTTAATCTCACTTTTGAAAATGTCTTGGTCATGCTAGCAGTAGTTTTCTAATCAATTTCATTAAAAATATCTAAGTGATTTAGAAATATGACATAATATTTACCAAATTACATATTAAATTTGCACTACATTAATGCAACATACAGAAATTAGTCCATAGGTGAAATAAAGACAGGTTGATAAAACTCATATTTACAAAACACTTGTTTCTTTATTGCATGTTATCATTGTTTAGACCTCAAAGTCAAAAAGACTCCAAGATCTGCATTCTATTGCTGCTGCTTTATGCTTCCATGAATAAATTATTCAGTTAGGTGAGTTCATAATTCCTATAAACTCTTTGGGCAAAATTGTTTCCAAATCTTCTTGTAAAATCCAAACAGCTTGTACCTTTTAATGTGATTCTTTCAACTTCTATCATTTCTATGAGTGTTTTCAATTTTTAGTCAGCATTGAGACCCCATATTTTTCTTTAGATTCTACCATCCATAGTTTGCTAGTTGGAAATTCTATAGGTATTAAACCATCAGATAATGTAGCTGTAACTAAACTGATCACACATTCATTTAAAATCAATAGAAGCATCTGGACACGTGTGGCTCACACCTATAATCCTATCTACTCAAGAGGCTGACATATAGGGATCTCTGTTCAAATCCAGCCAGGACTGGAAAGTCTGTGAGACTCTTATCTCCAATTAACCACCAGAAAACCAGACATAATATTATGGTAGGACACTTGCCTTGAGCTGAGGAGCTTAAGGACAGCACCCAGGCCCAGAGTTCAGGCCCCACGACCAACAAAGAAAGAAAGAAAGAAAGAAAGAAAGAAAGAAAGAAAGAAAGAAAGAAAGAAGGGGAGGGGGAACGGGGAGGATTGGGTGGGGGGGGCAGGGGGAGGATGGGAAGGGATGGGAAGGGAAACAAAGGAGGAGGCTACAATGCTTGATAAGAAATGTACGCATTATCCTGCCCATGTAATCGTAACCCCTCTGTACAGTATGTTCACAAATAAAATAAATTTTTTAAAAAAAGAAATATACTCATTATCTTGCCCATGTAATTGTAACCCCTTTGTACAGTATTTTCACAATAAAAAAAGAATATATAGCATTGATTAACAATAACCACTTGGGAAAATC